GGGGGGGGTGGGTGGGAGGGGGGGCGACAATATCCCTTCTGCAGGGAAAGCAAAGGCAGCTGTACAGGAATCGCAGCACACACTCCCCCACCCCCCCACAAACAGGCTCTTGGACACCAACGCCCCTCCAGGGACACAAGAAAACCCACCCACCCACCGTTGGGCAAAAAATGCTCAAATAGGACACAATAAGCTCACACGCTTCACACCAGGGGTCTCCAACCTTGGCCACTTTAAGCCTGGGGGACTTTTAACTCCCAGAATGCTGGCTGGGGAATTCTGGGAGTTAAAGTCCCCCAAGCTTAAAGTGGCCAAGGTTGGAGACCCCTGCTTCACACCAATATCCTTTGGGGGTTTTTTTTGGGGGGGAGAAGGTGCCCCCGATTGAGTGCTGATTCCTGGAGCCTGCCTAACTACCTGTCCCTGCCGTTTTCTTGGCAAGGTTTCCCGGAAGTGTTTGCTCAAGGCAGGACTAGAACCCACCACATCCTGGATTCTAGCTTTATGCCACTTACAACAGTTTGCAAACATAATTAAAAGTCGTCAGTAATGGGTTGTTTTTGCTTATTCTGTCTGCTCGTTTATTGATAGGTGTGTGATGTGCTGGTTTCGGTACACACTTCTTCTTGAAGAGCAGGCGACAGAATTTCTTCACCCCCACAAGGCGAGCAAAATATGCAAGACGGTTTGCCTAAAGACAAAAGGTGAGCTGGGCTCAGTTTACAGATGACGGGTTAACACAGTTGGAAGGGATCTGGCAGGTCATCTAGCCCAACCTTCCACCCAAGCAGGAGACGCTACACCCTTTCTGACAAACGGCAGTCCAATCTCAGTTAACCTGAGACACACAAAGATACCAAATGAGTGGACATCACTCATTTTTGTATCACACCAGACTCATAGACTGCAAGGCTCCTTTCTTGGACTGGTCAAAATTTAAGAGATCAGCCAGAAAATGTGAATATTGCTTTGACAGACCAAAGCAAATAAGTCCTGTATTTAGATAACAAAAATAAAAGACAAAGGATGTGGGAAAGATCTGGTGCCTGAAGCTAAATATGAGCCACCAAATATGAGCCAACCAGTGTGTTGATGCTCCTGCAAAACAAGCAGATTCAGTCCTGGACTGCATCAGCCGAAGTTTATCAAGATCAAAAAAGTCATCACACCTGGGCACGACTTACCAAGGGGGTGGCATACCTTCCTGTGGGATAAAGAAAGCAAGCCGTATGTATACTTCCATAGACATAAAATAAGAGATGTGCTGATACAAACATGGAGACAAATAAAGAATAAATATGATCGCAAAATTCCAAACTGGGTATCTCCCTCGGAAGCAATAATCCACCCTAATATAACGGAGGTTAAGAAAACAGCCAGGTATAGGGAAATCTTAGGTAAACAAGGGAATTTAAAGAGCAGACAAAAATGGGAAGAACAGGGAATAAAATTGGACTGGTGGACCTACATGCAAACACCACAAGCAAGATATAACAAGGACAGTGAGGAATTTGGAATAGACATTACAAAAACTAGATAAAATTTTGATTGGCCCAGATGAGAAATTATTATCAAAGATATGTAAACATTTATTAGAATTTGATAGAGCAGAGGAGATTATAAAATAATCAATGATTGCATGGGGTAGAAATTTTGGACATCTATTGATTTGGGAGAGTGGGAAAAGATTTGGAATACGAATTATAAAATAACAAAATTGGCAGCTTATAAGGAAAATCAACACAAAATGTTCTATCCTTGGTATATGGCACCTTCAAGATTGGCTAAAATCTATCCAGATTTAAAACCACATTGCTGGAAGTGTGGACAACAAGGTACCTTCTTTCATTCTTGGTGGTCGTGCCCCGAAGCGAAAAAATATTGGAAAGTGATTCAAATGTGGTTAGAAGAGTTAATTGAAAACAAAATTGATTTTGTCCCGGAATTATTCCTCTTAGGAATAATAAAAAGAAACTATAACATATCTTATATTACATGTATTAACAGCAGCAAGAATCTCCTATGCCCGGTACTGAAAGAAAAACTCCACGCCACCTGAAGGTTTAATAATTAAAAACATCTTTGGAGTGTGTGGAAATGGACAAATTAACTCGCACCCTTGGAGTGCAGGATGGGAGCCTCTAAGTTGCCCGGAGAAGCAGGAAGCAGAAGAGTCGGTGTATTTTGCAACACCCCTCAGCCAGGAGGAAGGAGCCCTGGGTGGGGTGAGGCATTTTGGACGGGAAAAATGTCCTCTGAAATTAACTGCAAGTGTCTTTGTGTCTTTGGACCTGCTGGCACCAAGAAAGATCCCAGGAGTCAGTGAGGATAAGGCCAAGTCCGGAAGAGCATTCCCAATCCCTGGCTCCAGTGGGGTTTCCTAATCACACTCGTTGCCTTCCGACACCAGAAGCGTTTCCAGCACCGAGAGGCTGAGATGCTTTCACTCCGGCCTCAGTGGGATGAAATGGGAGGGGGAGCGCCATCACCCATTAGCTGGGGAGGAGGCGAGGGAGAACTTGCTCCCCAAAGGCGGCAAAAGAGACGAGGAAGACCCCACGGGACACTTTTCTTGATTTCTCAGGAAGGAAGGAAAGAAGTGAGACTGCAAGGACAGGCAAGCAAGGCTGCGTAGTGTAGACAGTAAGTTCTCCTTCGAAACAGCGGCTCTACTGCAGGGGTCTCCAACTTGGGCCACTTTAAGACATGTGGACTTCAACTCCCAGAGTTCCTCAGCCAGCCTGGGAGTTGGTTCACACGTCTTAAAGTGGCCAGGGTTGGAGACCCCTGCTCCACTGGGCTGTCAGAGGCAGAAGTACAATGAAGGCTGCTGACAGGCAAGACAACCCACATCCCATGCCCAAGACTTCCTTCCCTCCCTCACAGGGGAGAGCACCAAATCCCACCCCCCAAAGCTCCTAATCCCCCCTCCAGGGTCGCAGTTGCCGGTTTCTCTCCTCTGTTCACCTGAAAAAATACACAGGAATCCAAGCCTTCCAAAATAGCCCCCGTGGGCCCCCAACCAGTCCTGGGAAAGGAAGTTGGCGGCCCACAAAGGTCTCGACCTGCCCAGAAAGAGCCATGCCCCTTAAAGGCAGGAAGGAGGTGCTTTCTGCGGCTGGAGGGGAACAGCCCCTGGCTTGGAGGACACTGTGAACAGGAGGGAAGACCTGGCGCTTTGTTCCGTCATGGGAGGAGGGGGGTTTCAGGGGTCCCCAAGGATCAAGGCCACTTTTAAGAGAGAAGAACCCCCCCAAGGGGCTTCTCTCCAGATGGATGGGGGGGGTGGGAGGGCGGGAGGAGCCTGCTCTCTGCACATGCTCAAGGGTTCTCTCCTGTTTCAAGTGCTTTGATCCGAAATGCAGGAGCCCTGACTCCTCCAGGGGGCTGGCAGAGAGAAATGCCCACTCCCTTCCCCTCCCCTCCCCTCCCTCCTCCCTTAAAAGCAAAGTTCCTGTCGGAGCAGAGTTGAGGCTGAAAGGCCCCCCTGAGAAAAATCAGGCCTGGGCCGGAGGAGACAAGCGGAACTCAGGCAGGCAACCTGGTGCTCTACCTCCAGCAAGGCAGGCGGGAAACTCTGGCGAGCAGGGCGGGGGAATTGCGGGCACACGGCTTCTTTTGCTCATCGGCCACAGCACACGATGCTGCTGCTGCTGCTGCTGCTGGAGCATTAGCCGGCTGTGCTCGCATCATCCGTGCAGGACAGAAAAGGGCTCCGTGCCTCCTCCATTCCCAGGAGAAGCCCCTGGCACCCTTGCCCACGAAGCAGGAGGTGGGGGCTGCGATCCCTCCTTCCCGTTCCAGGAGACCGACAGGCTTGGCGGCTGGAGGAGTTTCAGAAGAGAAATCCCTGCTTCCTTGGAGCTTCAGAGGGTGCAGCATCCATAGCAGCAACGCAACACCAGACTTGGATCTGCTTGAATTAAGCAAGAATCGCCAAAGCCGAAATGTAAGTGACACCAATCAAAATCCAGCTACAAGATTCTGAAATTTGTTGTCTTTTTTTTCTATGGGTCCTTGGCTCTATTCAAGCCACGGAGTCCGATCCCAGATTACATGTATGTGACAATCTATTTGGGTTGCAACTCTCTACACGTTGACCTGCAAATAAGTTGGCTGAACGCCGGGAGATTTACTCACGGAGAAACCTGTTTAGCACCGCATGGCTCCTACATTTTCAGCTGTTGATGATCTTTACCCAAGTTAGACTAAGATAAATACAAGTAAGATAAGAGTTCAATGTGATCAAGTTTATTGCCACACCTTAATTTCATTTATAGGAATATTTATTTTCTTGTGAGCTTTTTCTAAAAAGATAAGTTTCATAATGATCTACATAAATTTTTCCAGGTAGTAAAGTCTTCCTTTAGTCATTACAATTTTGGTAAGTTCCTATGTTTGAAAATTCTACTTTCTGCTACTTGCAAAGTTTACTCCAAGGAAATCCTACTGAGTCCAATGGAATTTATTATAACTAATTTGCAATATGTGTTACAAAAATCCTCCTTTTAGATATCTTAGGATACAGCAGCTTGGAGGGCTATCTTTAACACTAGGTATATTTGTAGGTATTGTTTGAGTACAATTAAGACATAAACATAAAAATAAAAAGTTTATGTTTTTGTCATAAATATACTCAGAATAATTCTGTTCTGCTTATTATGCAGAATGAAGGACACAGAATAACTATACCAACATGTCTTATTTTTTTTCTGGATTCTTTTCCTCTTCCATGGCTTCATAATTTTTCAGAATAACAACCGATCTCTAACCTGGATAGCTGTAGAAAACGGCCTACATAGGAGCTGTTACGATTCCCAAGCCTCTTTAAAATTTACCATTTCGAGGGCACTAGATGGAACCAGCAGCAGAAGATAGATGGCCTTTTCGGTCTGGCAAGAAACACAAAAGGCTGTGAGTGAAATTCCCCAGCATGGTTTTCAACAAAGAAAGGGACAGAAAAGGAAAACAAAAAGGAAAGTCCACTGTTGGCATTCCAGAACTAGCAGGCCTGGAACCAAAGCCACTCTGGCGGTTACAAGGAAGAATATGGCGGTGACCCGGTGCCCAGGTTGGCTCCGAAAAGCCTTTGGCTGCATCTGCTAGCTTGGAAGACAGGATTTCTTACCCCTGGACGCGCTGCTCTAAAAAAACTCCCTGCGGGAAAGAAAACGCCAAATACTAAGTAGCGACAGTAGCACCTTTAGAGCAAAGGGATCAAGAGGAAGGGCCAAAGGAAGCAGCTTCTTAAGGCAACTAGGCCCCCCCAGCTATGGCAACAGCAGCGGAGGAGGGGAAGCGGGGGAAAACACACCCAACTAAGCAACATGTCGGTTTGATGGCACATTTCCCACATAACATCTCCCTCCCTTTCGCCCAATGACAGATATGAAAAGATTCACCACAAAATTTAAAAAGAGGTGACCCCCTTTGGGTTCTCAGGTGGAAACTGTACCCCACTGACACCAGAAAGACTACAAAAGCCTCAGGAGAAGGAAGCGAATGGCTTATGAACCTCACCCCGCACCCACCCTCAAGTTTACGTACAGTTGAAGTTTTCATTAATGTTCCAGGAGAAGAGAGGAGTAAAACCTATTTCTCCGACGCCCAATTACAAGCCCAAACAATGGTATTTATATATGAAGAATTATGAAAATATCCGCCTCTTGTCCAAGCCACGTAGAAAATCCACAGTGACGTATTGTTTTGGTTTTGGTTTTTTGTCGAAATCTGAAGAGCTGCAGAGCTGAAGTGTATTTACACACAGTGGTTGTAAATTAAGATTTATTGATTTCCATTTGTATTTGCTTTTTTTTAAATACGGTTGAAGCTGCCGCAGAACAAGAGCTGCTGCTGCTGCCGCTGCCGCCGCCGCCGTTGCTGCTGCACTGCTTTAAGTTAAAAAGGAACTAATGGCGAGAGATCCCCACCTCTGGCGTTCTCCCAGGCCTCTCCCAGATGGCGTTGGTGAAGAAGTCCCAGGAGCCAAACCCATCCGGGCCTCTTCCAGCAGTGTCCTTAAGATCCCAGTCCGTCTCCATGCCAGAGGTGAGCGTGCCTTCAAAAGTACTGCCACTTCCCTAGCACCGTATCCTTGATTGCATCCACGTACTGGGTGGGCACCCAGTAGACCCAGTAGTAAGAGGCTTCTGTGGGACCCAACTGGAAAGCCTGAGGGAGGGAGGGAGGAAGGTTTGAAAACCCATGAGCCACAATCCCTTCCCTGCTATTTACACACAGCTTTAGAATCAAGGGTTTTCATGTCAGAAACTCTTACCTGGAGTCCAACGATACAAGCCAAACATTACAACAGTAAAGTAACCACCTCAGTTCCAGGTCCCCTCCAGGAAAGTTTGAGCCTCCCCTGACACCACCTACCCCCAATTTTTCCTACTCAGCAAGGTTGGTGGAACCATTCATCTATCCCACAGCTGCCCCACAGGGAGCCCTGGGGAGGGGGCTTTCTCCTCCCCTTGGATCCGGCAGCCCGGTTGCCAATTCCCCCAGGCCACAAGCCAGGGTCTGCTGTTCCTTTGAACTGGCCGGCTAGGGAACCAAGCTTGCTCTTCAAACTGGGGCTGCATCCGCAGACTGGTTGGCAATCTAGCTGCCTTGCGAAGGTCTAGACAGCAAAGCAGATTTTGAACCAAAGTTGCGCCACATTGCACCACTGATGCGCAATGAAGGGGGAGCGATAATTGCAGGGCTCAGATCCCCCAGATGCAAGACCATCCATCAGCACTCCTGGGGGGCGGGGGGGGGGCTTGTTGGGTAAACAGCACCCCGAGATGAAGTTCGTGTTCCAGCCCTCCATAGAACAGGGGAAAGGGATGGCGGAAAATGCATGGAAAAGGATGTTACCAAGGCCAAGAGACCCAGAACTGCGTCTCTATAAATGTTTTCTATAAATGGATTCATTTCTTTGATTTACAGGGTGGCCTAACTGAAGCAACTCAGAGCAGGATCCAACGGGTGAGAAACAGCACGGAAAACCCCGCTCATAATACAGGCACAAATACAACAATTGCAGTGCACTGAGAAAAAAACCAACAAAAATCCATGCAATTATCGTTCATAAATTTTGCTTCAAAAAGTAAAAATTGAATGCTCTCCTGAAGGTCCACAGAGTTGGAAACAAACCAACCTCAGGGAGGAAGGTATTCTTGGGGGCAGGAGCGGCAACACAGAGAAGGCACCCCAAATGTTCTGCAGGTGGGATCCAATCACGCCCACCCCGCCCCCTCTTCTGGGACAGGCAGGCAGTTAGAGGGTCCCACAAAATCTCCAGGGTCCAATTTGGGGCTCTGTATGTGACAGCTGGTACCCTGAGGAGCCCCCAGACAACCAACTGGGAACAGGAGGGCCAAGCCATCTTCCAAAAGAGCAACGGCAGGACAGGCAGACCTGTTGAACCACCAATTTGTTCAGCGATCATTCAAAATGATGAGGATGCCACTGAATGAAGGGATTTATGATCCCTGAAGTTACGGCCACGTGGCTGCAAGGATCCTGGCCTCTTGGCAACCTGTTCTCTCTCACTGTGGGTTGCCAAGTGCCTTGCGACTGTGGGATTGCCGGTTGCCATCTTCCCAACTGGCTTTCCCGGAAATTCAACGTGGGAGCCGGGAGGGAAGATTGCAAATTGCCAGCTGGCTGATTCCTGGGGTTGCCTGAAGGAGGATTTTGGCACGGAGCCCCTGCAGCAGGGAGCACTTGCTCTTGTCGCTGGGGCTGCCTGCAAACCTTTCTTGGAAGGATTCTGCCATTTTTCAGCCAGCCCCTGTGAGAGCGAAAGGGCCGCCTGGCCTCGTGGAAGTGGAGCCCCTGTGGCAGGCCGCTCCTTGGCTTCATCCACCTCACGTCCCAGGGAATCATTTTACAACCGCAATCGGCAGTGGGGGGATTGCGGTTGTTGAGTGAAACAGCCATGTGGTGCCTCACTTAACGACAGCGTCACTCCATGACCCAAGATTCTGGTCTCAATTGTGGTTGCAAGTCGAGGATTACCTATAGTCCAAACAAGAGGTGACTATGTTATGCATTACAACAATAAGATGGATCTGGAAAACACCTGCTCTTTCAAGTCCAAGAGGAACCCTGACTGTGCGCCGTTTCTCGTGGGGAAGCTCAGCCCCCTTGAGAAGGAAATCTGACACGTTCTTGAGCACAGCCGGCTTCCCAACTCAAGGCCTCCAACCCTTGCGACTCTCTCTCAAAAGCATCACTTGGGTAGCCCCCCCGCCGGTCAAGGCGGATAACTGGGATTCACCAGCCTACTTTGGGCACTTGGCCAGCAACCCCAGGTAGATCTTAAATAAGAGAGGGGAGGACACTGGATCTCTGAGGAGGCTGAAGGTTCGCTCTCTCGCTTCTACCGCGTCCACGCACCAACCTAGGAGACAGAAGAAAAGCCACAGCAAAACAGCGCCCCTCCCCAACCCCCCAGGGGGCTGCCACAATCAAGGCTGCACTGGCTCCCTCCTGGCTCTGCCGGAGATCACCTGCACAGGCAAACAGTGCTGAAAAGATTCCAGGTAATCTTTTTCTTCCAAGATTCTCTGGAACTTCAGCTCAACCCTTCTTCTTCCTCAAAAGAGAGAGTAAATGGAAATTGTTCCACCATCTTTGTATCCACTGAGGGCTTCTTAAGGAGGGGGCACACGCTACCTTTTCAACTCAAGGAAGAAGCCCCTACAGTAGGAGTGTCAAACTCAAGGCCTGCGGGCCAGATTTGGCCCGTGGGATGCTTAGATCTGGCCTGCGGGACTGCTCTGGAAACAGCGGACCGACCCACGGTGCCTCTGCTGGCCAAAAGGGGAGCTCGCAGCCCTCCCGAGCTCCGTTTTCACCAGCAGAGGGTTGCAGGAGGCCGCTACAGCCAAAAACGGAGCTCGGGAGCTGGCAGAGTGCTTGGCCCACCACAGGCGCCCCCGATGCAAGTTACGTCGACCTGGCCATGCCCACCTCAGTCCCACCAAGGCAAACACAACCCTGATGCGACCCTCAATGAAACCGAGTTTGAGACCCAGGGCCTACAGCAACACATTTCCTTCTGACGGCTTTGCCAGGCAGGACACGGATCAGTCATACAGGCAGCTGCACTAACAGCTCCAAGCACCTCTTCCTCAAGACTCACAGGACAAAACTCCTCCCAGATGAAGGGCAAGTCCAAGAGGACCTGCCTGGCTGGAGTCCAGCTTGGAGCAGATCTGAGGAACTTTATCCCTCGGCTGCCAATCATGACGCTCATAGCGGCCCCCCACAAGGTATTGCTCCAACAATCCTCTTCCCAGAGAAAGTCCAGCTGACCCTCAGCCAGGCTGCTAAGTGGCCCTCGGTGGACACAAGAGGAGCAGGAAAACCATCAAGTTCTGCTCCTCTTATGGCCACAACGGAGCCCTTAATAATGCGGGTTCCCGTCTGGTTTGGTCCCCGTCTCTCCCCAGCAGCGTCCTCAGTGTCCTGCTGCTGCTGCTCATTTTCTGGGGCTCCTCAGAAAGCCCAGGGAGCCCTAAGACAGGCACATAAGGGGAGGCCACTCGGGGTCCACCCAACCCCACGTTTCGTAACCTCCTCACTTCAAGCGAGGAACGTCCCTCCAAACCTCAGAAAGCTCCCCAAACACGCTCAGGATATGAACCGGATGCATCCGGCACCTGAAGATTCAAAAGGCTTCTAGACAACCAGACTATGGTCTGACCACAACCAAGACCAGGCGTTACATGAATCTTCTCCACCAGGTCATGTTGCAACTGCCCTGAGACAAAAAATAAAAAAAATTAAGATCCAGGGTTGGGGGTATGATGATCTGTGTGCAGTTCGTGGCTATCATGGTAGCCATGAATTCCTGGAGCACTTCCCAGCCTTGGAAGGAGGCCTGCTGCTAACCCAAAGCCTCTTCTGTGCTCATCCAGGCCTTGGTGAAACATTCCAAATCGATCACAACACAATAACGGCCGACAGAGCCCAACATTACAGGCTGACCTGGCATTCAGAAGCCGCAGTTGGAGACCAAGTTACCTGAAGGTCCGATGATCTAGGACTTGGGATGACTGCAGACGGGGGAGAGTGAAACTGAAGGTGAGAACTAACTAGCTGCCAAGAATGATGGTTACAGCAAAGAAGCAGAAAAGACCAAACTGGCTTTACTTAGACATTCTGAAGTTGTTAATGTCCTGGCTTGTTGAGGGACCCTGATATAAAGAGCTGCTGCCTCCATGGAGAAACTCTCCTGGAGCCCCTAAGGCCTTTGCCCACGGGAAGGCATCAATCCTCAGCCGAAGCCACTTACCATCATATGATAATCTTCATGCCCTTCAATGGGTTCGCTCACCACGTTCTTGATGGATCCCATGGGTAACTTTTCTGTTCTTTCTATGTTGAAAGACAGAAAAAGTTAGGATAACTGATGTTCCACATTTCCCCATATTCTCCCTTCCCAGCCACCAAGCTTATCTTAAAAGGACAAGAATACCATCATTAAATCTTTTATTCGCTCTCGTCTTACTGGCACGCAGCCTTTGGCTGGATAAAGGATCAACTTCAATTGTAACTAGTATCTACGTCAAACTTTACATATTCTGATTTTAGTAATTTTCCCCAACGTTTATCTCCAGGCTAGGTCACATCCTCAGTGCATGGAAGGTCAGTGTTTACCAGTTGGTCTTGCTTAGTGATTTCTTCCTTGACAGTGGAAAACCCCAACTAAGATTGCCAAGATAAGCTACTACAGGTAACAATGGTAAACTGAGACCAGAATTCCGATCGCTAAGCAATGCGGTTGTAAACCATGATGTCATGTGACTGCATGGCTTAGCAATGGCGGTCCCCTTTACCGTCATCATCCAAATCCCACAGGTTGCTAGGTGAGGACTCACCCCGATCCAAGCCATTGTTGGTCCCTCCCAGCTTTGAGCCTTGATATAAGGGACTGCCTCCTCTTGAGCTACCCCGCCATGGTGGCAAACTGGTTAGAATGTAGATTGCAGGCAACCTCAGCCTGGAGTTTGATCCTGACCAGCTCAAAGTGGACTCAGCCTTACACCCTTCCAAGATTGGTAAAACGAGGACCCAGATTGCTGGGGGCAATGTGCTGACATTGTAAACCACTCAGAGAGTGCTGCAAAGGACTATAGAGTGGCATATAAGCCTAAGTGCTATTGCCATCTCTGCCCTTTTGGCTGCCCGCCTTCCCGTTGCCACCAGATGCCCAGCCCTGCATGCCATGTCGTCTGGCTACACTGCACACCACTCCATACTGATTGGGCCCTTCTTTTGTGCTGGTGTAGCCGGGGCTTCTCTCACACCCCACCCAGAGTTGTCTTTTTCAAAAAGAAGCCTGGTGGGTAAAAGGAGGCCCTGGCCATGTGGGCGTTAAAGACGCCTGGTGAGAAAAAAGGCCCTGGCTGGCACAGCAGTGGTGCCATGCATGGTGTGGTGGGGCAGCTGATGTTAAGGGGCTGGAGTTTGTTCACATGACCATCACAGGTGTATTGCAATGTCCAGAACTTCAGGGACCAGTCACTGAATAAATGAATGCTAAGCGAGAAACACTCTTTAAATAATCCACCCGTAAACTTCACTCTCCCTTGTATTCAGAACGTTATCAACAGAAATGGATGCAAGAACAACCAGACTCAGAGTTTAACAAGAACCCAAATTATCAGCTGCTTAGCTCTAAACAAACTTAACAAAATTATCCAATTGTGCATTTACTGGAGCAAAGCATTCGCCATATATTTAAAGCAAAGATATAGCTTCAAAAGAGATGTCAATAGACAAAATTACTGAACTATGCTCAACGTAACATTAACAAAAAATAAACTATGCCACACAAAAAAGATTCAGTTGCTTGTAATATGAAAAAAGTACAAACGCTTTGAACTTAGTGGAGCAAAGCGTTCTGTGCCTGTTGATCCCATTATATTTATTTCCTATAATTTATGTTCAACTCGATTCAACAAGGCTCTAAGGAGCGAAAACATATCCTTAATTACAGGTAGTCCTCGGCTTACAACAGTTCATTTAGTGACCGTTTGAAATTACAACACTGAAAAAAGGGTTATGGCCAGTTTTCACGCTACTGTTGTAGCTTCCCCATGGTCACTTGATCCTTTTTGTAACCTTCTGACAAGCAAAGTCAATGGGGAAGCCAGATTCACTTAACAACCGGGTTACTAACTTAACAACTGCAGTGATTCACTAAACAACTTGTGGCAAGAAAGGTTGTAAAATGGTGGAAAATTCACTTAACTGTCTCACTTAGCAATATAAATTTTGGGCTCAATTGTGGTCTTAAATTGAGGACTACCTGTATTGCAGAATATATGCTACCAAGCCAAAATTAAGCTTGCATAATTACTTTAGAAGCATTTAGAATTCAATTAACAGTATTTGCTGTTAAAAAAACATCAGCAAGAGCTGTAATGCTTAACAGCACCAAAAAGTAAAAAATATGTAAGTAAAACAATATTTCTGGGCTATTCTGTTTATTGTTTACAGTGAAATATCAAGAGTGAAAAACAGCCCCATAAATGCCATCTCACATGGAAGCTTCACAATGACATCTTATTTAGCTTGCCACTTCTTTCACACGCATTCCAGCCAACTGAGGCTACGGGCCTTCACGTGCCACACAGCAGGGTCAGAGGGGCTCCATCCTGTCTTGAGGCTGCTGTCCTGTTTCTCAGAACCGGAATCTTTTACCCTAAAAGCATCCAGTTCGAAGGGCAGCTAAAGACTCTCCTGTTGCTAATGTTTTGGCTAAGCTTCACGCATTGCTCACAAATCAAAACGGATCTACTTAAATTGGCTTAATTGACAGGTGAATTGGATTCAGCGAATAGCTCACCAGCCTAGATACAATAACCCAGAAATCACAAAGTACTGTTATCACACAAAGCTAAGCTTTCAGGATCGGAACAATCACACAACTTGGGCACGCACCTTTAGTGCCAATCCAGAGCTGATCTTGTTCAAGTTTAAAGGTTAGCCGTACTTTTCCACCTGACTTGTTGTACATGCCCGATAAAGGAACAGTCGGCAGACGCTCCTAAAGAGGTTGAGACACAAGCTTCTATGAACAAAACAACTTACAGTACAAGGAAAAACACATTCTGTTTACAACATCTATCAGTAAGAACAGAACAGCCAGAGTTGCCAATCTCTGGGCCTTCGACTCTTGTTTCTTACCTGGACACCTTTGACAGAAGGCATGACATCTTCAGGCTTCCCTTTATCCAAGACTTTCCTATGTTGCTGTAAAGCAGAAATAAAAATTTAAAAAAAAAAGAACGATAGAAGTCTTCCCAGATTTCTGCTTTGCTTACTTGCCAGCAATGAGAATTCTAAAAAGTCTGAGATGCACAACCTTCCCTTAGAAAGTAGCACTTTACAAATGAGCTGCAAACAGATGCTAATTAAAAGACACCAAAGTGTTCTTGTGTCAGCATTTCTTTCTTAGGGAGCAGAATTCATGGTTTCCCAACAAACAATCTGGCTGAAGTTACACAAAAAATCTAGATGGGACAAGCAATTTTTTCAAATTCAAAAGATGAGTTGAAGGATCAGTCAATGCATACCTCTCTATGTGCTCACAGATCTGGAGATTGCAAACCAAGCTGTAATCTCCACTCTCAAAATTCTGCAACTTGCACAACAATCTTGATGCAGATGTCACAGAACTTCTGAATGGGGAGACCGAAACATTTGGAATATCTGCCTAAATGCACTCTGGTTTACTGAGCTACAGAGTTCTATCCTTACAGGATCAAGGTGAGATTTGCAGAAATAAACAAAAACCAGCCATTGAAAGGTGGCAGAATTGCTAAATTCAGGCACAAGAGCAGCAAATGGGAAGAAGGTAATACCAAGAGATGATAAATCATGGGAAATATTAGCAGTGTCAGCACTGACAAAAATCCAAGGCAATAACAGGAGACAACAAAAATAAGTAGAGCAGCTATAAATAACTTATGGTGAACCAACCAAAAGGCTTTGGAAAGTTTAAAATAGTCTGCCTGTGAGTGCTCAATTGCTTAATAGCTAAAAAATGAAACCTTGTATACCACCTGTAAACAAGTCAGTGAGATGGCAAAAAATAACAGCAAGGGGGAAAAGATAGGATTACAAGAAAATGCTTTAACTGGAAAACAGGCTGTGTTGCTCATGACTGGCAAAATTAACTGGCAGAATTTCAGAACAGGAATGTTGCCCTACCCCTTTGGAATATGTTGGCAAATCACCTGGCACCATCTACTTATAAAGCATGAGGCATAAGCATGGGCCACCCTCTTCAAAACATCCCCAGTTCAACATCAGAACCACTGACCGAAAACATCAGAACCACTGACCGAAAACA